AGCACCCGGAGGAAACCAGAGTAATTAGATTAAAACACATTTACTGTCATCCTACGACCTGTGGGATCATTTACTGCTACATGTTTTAACCATGATATTGTAGTCTGAACATAAAGCAAACATGACAAACTATATATCAAGCCTAAAATGTCTAGTTTCCAGCTCTGCTGACTGAATTTTTGATCGATATTACTGAGCAATATTGATTTATTCCATGTTGCCAGATCTAGGGAGTTTAATAAGTTTTCTAGGGAGTGGAATAAACTAATAATGCTCAGTAATATCGATCAAAAATCAAGTCAGCAGAGCTGGAAACTAGACATTTAAAGCTTGATATATAGTTGATATATAGTTTACTGTACAGATTGTCAGGATTAGGTTAGGATTTAATTGCAAAAATGTGACGTAAACCTAAGCACCCAAGTAAGGGCCCTATTATACACCCGGCGCAGTGTGGCGCAAGGTGCGGCGCAATAGTCTTTTGGTAGTTTCAGCTTGGCGCAAGAGTGGTTTTGAGGCGTTACGCTACGCTGTTTAAATAGCAAATGCATTAGCGCTCATTTGTGCGCCCATAGGCGTTCTGGTCTAAAAAGGAAGGCGTTCTGAGGCGGACCGCTGGCGCGTTGCTATTTTGAGAAACTATAATAGATTTTTCATTAGACCAAAACAAACCCGGTCTAAACTCCAGCGCAGAGTTGCGCCTCGCTTACACACTGCTTAATACACACAAGAGAGCAATAGGCAAATATCTTTACATATGAAAAAATTTAAATATTAAGGATATATATAGGATATAATAAGAATAGATATGGGATATAAATATAAAGGATTAAAATATTACAAAACATATTATTTTCTAGCCTACATAAATATGAAAAATCACTGCTTTTATGTCTTCTTCATCTCGGGAGACTTTTTCAGTTCATTCATAACAATTTGCTTTTGTATAATGTTATTATTATTAGCAGTATTATTTATTATATCCATATTTATATTTGTTTTATTAAAAACAAGCTTTGATTTGCCCACCTGTCAGGTTTTAGACCATATGGGGCACAGCATGTGTTTTAGGATATAACTCAGGTTTTTGAACACATTTTGTTATTATTGTTCATTTATTCGTTTGCTGGATATTAGAAATGAATTTAGAAATAGTTTTGAAACAAATCTTTGCGCTTAACAAACAAAAGTATTTATTCATAGACTAATTGATGTCTGTGCGTAAAGGTTTCCCTATCCAAGAGCGAAAGTGTAAGTAGATCCATTATCTCTCATTCTCACGCAGTAGATGCTCTGTTTAACAGTTTTCTGTTAAAAAACTGTTAACTGTTAACTGTTTGCTGGTGAAATGCTCATTTTTTCCACTTAGACTTACTTTGCGTCCTGTAAATAGCGAATGCGCTCTTGGCGTGACGCAGCTGACTCTTAAAGGGAATGGGAGATGAGACTCTAATTGGTTTATTCTCAAAACACACCTATAACTCATTAAGAAAATAAACTCAACCCTTTTAGACCATGCGCCTTGGCGCAAGGCAGATTTCCCGTACGTAAATTAGCAAAAATGCGTTCTGACACGCCCTGAAAGTGTTTGCGCCCTGCGTTTTGCGCTCTGGGCATGGACCGTCAAAATAGAGCCCTTAATGGGTTAAATTACCAAAAATTGGCAACATGGGTGATTCACTTAGCCTGCATCTCGAAAATCTATATAATAAAGCAATAAAATAAGAAAAATCACTTATAGAAATTAAACAAGAGGTGGCATGGTGGCTCAGTGGTTAGCACTGCCTCCTCACAGCAAGAAGTTCACTTGTTCGAGTCCCGGCTGGGTCAGTTGGCGTTTCTGTGTGGAGTTTGCATGTTCTCCCAGTGTTGGCATTCCTACATAAGAAACTGTGGTAAAAATATGAATTCAGAGGTCTTTTCCAGTGATATCTAGTGTGTCATGATAAGTTTAGGATTTAATTGCAGAAATGTGACGTAAACTTGTCCTGGTGACAGGACGGTGATGGGTAAGGGGTTAACTGATGATCCGTGTCTCCAAACAATTCTTCTTTTATCACTTGTTTAAATTACATTTGGCAACACAACGTGGCTCCTCTCTGAACACTGTAACAGGTAAAAACGAAGCTTCTTCAAAGCCATCATGCATGTTAATGAAAATGCACCTCATACACAATAGAGCGCGCTGATTGGTTTGAAACAAGTTTTTCCTTATGAATTAATGCTGAAAACTTAAAGACGTCACTTTGTACCGACTGGTACTGTACAGACATTAAGTCTCTGCACCGGAATTTACACAATGATCGCATGGCCGTGACGCAGCTTCAAAATTTCTCTTGTTTAATTTCTATAAGTGATTTTTTTTTTATTGCTATATTATATAGATTTACGAGATGCAGGGTGAGTGAATCACCCATGTTGCCAATTTTAGGTAATTTAACCCATTAAATGTCGCTTGGGTGCACATTTTTTGCAATTGAATCTTAATCTAATCATGACAATTTGTATATTAAACCATGTATCAACTATATCAAGCTTAAAATGTCTAGTTTCCAGCTCTGCTGACTTGATTTTTGATCGATATTACTGAGCAATATTAATTTATTCCACTCCCTAGAAAACTTATTAAACTCCCTAGATTTGGCAACATGGAATAAATCAATATTGCTCAGTAATATCGATCAAAAATTCAGTCAGCAGAGCTGGAAACTAGACATTTTAGGCTTGATATTTAGTTTGTCATGTTTGCTTTATGTTAAGATTACAATATTGTAGTTTAAACATGTAGCAGTAAATGATCCCACAGGTCGTAGGATGACAGTAAATGTGTTTTAATCTAATTACTCTTCCTACATAAGAAACTGTGGTAAAATATGAATTCAGAGGTCTTTTCCAATGATATATAGTTTGTCATGATTAGGTTAGGATTTAATTGCAAAAATGTGACGTAAACTTAAGCGTCCTGGTGACAGGACGGTGATGGGTAAGGGGTTAACTGATGATCCGTGTCTCCAAACAATTCTTCTTTTATCACTTGTTTAAATTACATTTGGCAACACAACGTGGCTCCTCTCTGAACACTGTAACAGGTAAAAACGAAGCTTCTTCAAAGCCATCATGCATGTTAATGAAGATGCACCGCATACACAATAGATCGCGCTGATTGGTTCGTACCAAGTTTTTCCTTATTAATTGGATGAAAACTTCGGCACTTTGTACCGACCATACAGACATCCAGTCTCTGTGCCAGAATTTACACAAGGATCTCAGGGCCGTGACGCAGCTTCAAATTTTATTTTCAAACCAGAAGAACCAATTTGCTTGATATAATGCAAAAACAACCATTTTTCTAATTTTTTGTGAAGTATATGTATCCTAATAGTGTTTTTAGCAGTGTGGGACACATTTACGACTGTCAACATCTCAGAACATGTGTTTTGGTGTTTTGTTACCCTTTAAGTGAGGTTTATTCATAAACTAATTTTGAGAGGATCACGTGCTTATGATTTATCCGGGCCGGTCTCGTATTAGCTAATCTTCCAATCATATGAGCCCTAATCTACTATAAATAGCCACAGTTTTCAGTCCATTTTATCTTGGTTTGGAAGAAACCCCCCTTCCTCCCTAATTCTCCTCCTTTACCAATAATCGGGCGGCACGGCGGCCCAGAGGTTAGCACTGTGCGCCCCACAGCAAGAACACTGCTGACTCTGGTCACGCCAGGCCGGTAGGCGTTTCTGTGAGGAGTTTGTATATTCTCCCCGTGTCCGCTTGGGTTGTCCCCGGGTTTCCTCCCACCATCCAAAGATATACAACATGTATAACAATCAAGCACTTGTCTAACTCCTTTTCTCCACGTTCCCTTAGCTAACGCAGCCGGGGAGTTCTGAGATCCCCTCTCACTCTGCCAACGGAAGGAAGCCCCAGGCTTGAGGATCCCTTGAGCTCGGGGCTCTTTCCCGGGACAGCATGCCAAACAAGCTTTTGATAGATCATCAGCTAAGTGTGAACTCTTGAAATTTGTGCATCAAAAGCATTGAATGGAGGGCTGTTGTCCAGCTGACTTTAGCTTTAACCTGCTTCAACACAACTGCCAGAAAGTTTCTAGTACATGTAGTAAGGGCTTAATTAGCTGGTTCAGATGTGTTTGGTTAGGCCAGGGGTGTCCAAACTTTTTGGGCCGAGGGCCAGATGCAAAAAGACAAACGTTGTCGCGGGCCAAATTTTACATACATCACACAGACACGTATATATATACACTTGTAGTCAGAATTGTTAGCCCCCCTAAATTATTAGCCCCCGTTTATTTTTTCCCCAATTTCTGTTTAACGGAGAGAAGATTTTTTTTCACACATTTCTAAACATATTAGTTTTAGTAACTCATTTCTAATAACTGATTTATTTTATCTTTGCCATGATGACAGTAAATAATATTTGACTAGATATTTTTAAGACACTTCAATACAGCTTAAAGTGACATTTAAAGGCTTCACTAGGTTAATCAAGTTAACTAGTTAAGTTAAGGTAATTAGGCAAGTTATTTTATAACAATGGTTTGTTCTGAAGACTTAAAGGGCTAATAATTTTGACCTTAAAATGGTTCATAAAAAAATTTAAACCGCTTTTTATTCAAGCCGAAATAAAACAAAAGTCTTTCTCCAGAAGAAAAAATATTATCAGACATACTGTAAAAATGTCCTTGCTCTGTTAAACATCATTTGGGAAATATTTAAAAAAGAAGAAATAAATGAAAGAGGGGCTAATAATTCAGACTTCAACTGTGTGTAGATAGATAGATAGATAGATAGATAGATAGATAGATAGATAGATAGATAGATAGATAGATAGATAGATAGATAGATAGATAGATAGATAGATCATAACAAGAACTGCTGCTTAATTGAATGCATGACACCCGGTGGTTATTTATTGAATTACGTTCATTTTTGTATAGCGGGCCAGATTCTATTGATATTTATAAAAAGCCTCGCGGGCCGCCACAAAACTGATTGTGGGCCGCAGATGGCCCGCGGGCCGTAGTTTGGACACGCCTGGGTTAGGCTCTCTACGACTGAGTTTGGAGATCCCTGTTTTAACCCATATTTGTTATTCCATATTCGACCTAACACTGAGTTACAGCAACCCAGCATTAGTTTAAAATTTATTTTCGTGCATTTTTTGGCAGCTTTTCAGCAACATTATCATGCGACACATCACCAATTTGTAAATATGCATTAAACGTTCATTTGAACAACAAATGAGGCTCTTAAAATGAGCTCTGTTACCATAACAAAGATGAACTCTAAAAATTACTGGGATGTTGTAACCCATCGTTGGCTCAAATATGGACAAAACCAACTTTGGGTTGTTTTAAAAACACTACCGTTAGATTTGTCCATATCTGACCCAGCATTTGGTTAACACAACCCAACATTTTTTTGCATGTTAAATCCTGGATGATTTTCATGATGGGGTCCGATTTTGAAGTAATGTCGTGTGCATGTAAAATGGGAAGATGAAAGGAAATTTATGAAAGCGACTCATGTAAACATGTTAGTCATAATATCATTCAGAATGAGGTGTGTAATTAGATTGCTAACGTTCGTGCACTGATTGCGAAACAGAGAGTCCCGTGATCCGGCTGAGAAATTCTACCCAATAAAATACGGATGTGAGTCAGTGAGAAATGCGAAAACCTTGGAATACACTTAATCACACTTTCTAAGCTCCGGTAGGTCTAGCCAAGAAAATGCATACTTTGTTCCAATTAAATGGCTGTTTTTCCTGCCAAAAATACATCTGTCAGCGTTCATGCGTTGTAAATCCTGCATGAGTGTTGATATTGGGTCCCGCATGAGGCTGTTCGCTCTCTTTTCTGTTTCTCAGGACATTTTGTGCAACCTCTGCCAAACCCGCTTGACCTGAAATATGTATTTGCAGTAGCCCTTGAGATTTAGAGGTAATGTTTCAATAACTTCATCTTGTGTGTGTGTGAGTGAGTGTGCTCATTATTGTTTTAGTTCATCCTTAATCATTTCAATAGTTTTCATTTTATTTTTATTATTAAATAAACTACTTTCTCTTTATATCAATGTACTGTATGATTTCCAGTTTGGGAATCTCTTGTTTTTATTATTAATTTGATTATATGTATTTAAAATTTGCTATGTATGTAAACAATGGCAGCTGTATGGGACGGGATCATTCGCATATCTAGCAGATATATAAGGTTTTCATAACATTGTAACGAACAAACGTTACATGCTTTAATTGTTGTTTTAGTTTCTTGTGATGCGAAAAGCACTGGTTGCAATATTACTACAGGCCACTAGGTTGCACTAGAGGGGAGTGAGAACTGGATATATTCCAGCTCACCATAGAGCAAGTGAGTCGTGTTTGGTAGAGGGAACCACATGGGGAACTGAGGCTACCGACCCACTCCGGTTCTGATGGTTTTGAGAACATTATTGTTGCTACTCAAATGTGAGTATTGAATACGTTTTAAGTTTGAAAGTATTTTCAATGGTTGGTTGTGATTTGCCCTATGTTTATTTCTTATGTAGACAGGACCTGTTGTCCTAGAGATGTTCAGATGAGGTGTTTGTTGGTGCTTTCAATGGACTGCAATGATTTAGTTTCAACGTTCTTTATGCTTCTCAATGGCAAATGAACTATATGTATACACGTGTAATGATGGTCAGTGACTCTTAAATTCCTCCATACTACCGGTTTCCCAGTGTGAGGAAGTGGATCTTATTGCATCGCACTCAAATCCATCTACGCAACATTCACCCAACCATCTATATCATTTACACAGACTGTTTACATTCAATGACTGCTTGGTTTTGGATATTGATTACTTTTGTTTGTGTGGACTAAATACTGTATACACATGTAGAGAAATTAAACAAGAAGGAAAAAGGGAAAAACAGGCTTGTGAAGTTTATTTTAATTTCAGTATGTGTGAAATAAAAATTCTGTGAACTCCCTCAGTGTAACACCTTGCATGCATAGAGGTGGTGTTACAACATGCTGTTGAACCGGTTTAAAGTTAATTTGACGTTTGACATTCATTAGACATTCAATTTCATACCAATTTAATTCTTTGCTTCTGTTATAGTTTGAGCCAAAAAAAAAGGTAAATAGGCCCTTTACGTTGCACAAGGCTTAATTTATCAATTAAAAAAATAATTAACCATACGAATGAATTAAACAATTCAACCATATGAAATTATACAGTAAAACCAATACCAAAATGTCAGAAAAACATCCTGCTCATTGCACAAGACTCTGTTTTTAGAATTAGCACTTTATTTATTTGATAATATTTTAACAATATCTTTTAATGTAAAAATTATCAAATTAGTCAATTAAACTCTGACACCATTTGAGATAAAATAATCAAATCAACATTAAAATTGTGTGTCGCCCACAATTGAGGCAACTTTCTCCTCAAAGGGTGTTAGTTCAGCATCCCCTGTTCCACCGCCTGTTCAGTCCACACTTTGACGGTGCGCCGCTGTTCTCCTCTTAACCTGCACCTTTACATCAGACCATTTATTTTTTAATTCACTCACAGTGCGATGTTCAGACCCCACTGCGTTAACCGTGTCAGGTAAACTCTCTCACTCTATTTTTTTTTTTCTTAATTCCGGAGGACAAACTTGCAAATAACACAGTTTTCCTCTGGTCTACCTCCGATAGGAGCACCTCCAATTCACATTCTGTGAAGTTTCTCTTCTTGCTTGCTTTTGCCATTGCTTTTTTGTTTGGTTTTGCCAAAGTAGAGTCATTTCTGTTGTAAGTGAGAATACGGTTACTCCACTTGTACACCACCAGAGGGAGCCATCACCGGAATTCTAATCAGACTCTCAGACTCAAATTCCCATAAGCCCTTCTGCCTGTCACTGATTGCGGCACAGGTGTCTTGCATCATCTCGGTGCATTTAAACCACACTCTCACCCATACTCATTGCGAAGTCTTGATTTGCCCAGCAGTAAAGCTGCGGTCACACTGGGCTTTTCCTCCCATAGAGTTCCATTCATACGCATGTAAATGCGTCAGACTGGAAACGCAGGGTCATGCATCAAGTTTCGCAGGTTGTTGCGGTGCAAAGTTCAAGCTTGGCGAACTCTGACCTGTGAAATTGCATCACTTTACTGCGTGAGACCATTCGAGGATCAAAACATGAGATCTCTAGACAGAAATTTAAAACATGGAGCAATTACTTGCTTTTTAATGTCTAATCATCTTGTTTAATCCCGCCCCTTTTCACAGCACTGCACGACAGAATATCGCATGCTCAAACTCTAATGTGACCGCAGCTTTAGAGTGAAGGAAGCGAATGATTTCTTGATTCAGACGTTCAGTTTGTCCATTAGACTGAGGATGATGCAAGACACCTGTGCCGCAATCATTGACAGGCAGAAGGGCTTATGGGAATTTGAGTTCGAGAATCCGATTAGAATTTCGGTGATGGCTCCCTCTGGTGGTGCACAAGAGTAACCGTGTTCTCACAACAACTACCATATTTTTACGTGGGAGGAGGCAGGGAGGGGTTTTTCGCTTGTGCTTGTTGCGCTCAATTTCACGTTAATTCGTATGTAAAAAGAGAATATGTGTGGATTGCATACATCTGATTTTTTTTACTGCGTACGCACAATTACAGCTTTGTCAGTGTGCAATGTTTTAGTATAAATTCAACACAAGTCTTAGCGCATGAGACCCCTGGTGGTAGTTTGCTCCCCATCTTTTCTCATCTTTTCGTTTTGGTGTGTATGTGCTCCTAATCTGTCTGACATTCGAGCAGATTTCTATCATTATCCGTGTGTTTTTGAGAGACTGGTTTGGGAGGTTATTCGGTGTGTGTCAACATCATATCAGATCTCATTTCTTTCCCCAGCACTTTTCCAATTGTACTCGAGCGTTTATTGGTACACCAGGAAATTGTATCTATTTTGTCATCATTTGGTGTCCTCCAGGCATGCAGGTATTTGGTTTGTGCTTTTCAGTCCCCTTGGACAGATTTTATTACCTTGGAGTTGGCCTAAAATTGGAAAGGCAGTGTTATTAAACATCCCGGAGGCCTAGTGGAAAACATTTCTCCTGCTGCTACACCAGAAATGCCTGTTTGTCAGAGAACGGCTGTTTCTGAGGCCTGGACTGCATGAGACTCTGTGTATTTATAAAGCTCTGCAATGCAAGGCCAACTTACTAAACTAATTATTGCATTTGGATAACAGAGTATCTCTTTAACCAGAAAAAAAAAAACTGCTCAAATAATCAGCAGATGTGTCAACATAGTAGAGATAAGACAGAGGGCGATGGTCAATGTATGTAGAAGGGTTAGGGTAACGTGAGTTTATTCCCTCACACAGAATGAGGAATTTACTGAATTACAATTCAAGATTCAACACAAAAGATGATTCCACAACCTCAGAATGAGATTAAGAGACGGAATGAGATTGACAACAAGCAGAAGATGAAAAAAGAGATGAGAACTGAGACAGGACTGAGAGTAAGATTCAATTGAATTCATCTCTATTTCTATAGCGCTTTTACAATGTAGATTGTGTCAAAGCAACTGTGTCAGTCCAGTTTTCAGAGTTTAGTTCAGTTCAGTGTGGTTTAATTTTCACTGCTGAAAGTCCAAACACTGAAGAGCAAATCCATCAATGCGAAGCTCAACAAGTCCCAAACCAAGCAAGCCAGTAGCGACAGTGGCAATGAACTTTACCAATTGATGAAAGTGAAGGAAAAACCTTTAGAGAAACCAGGCTCAGTTGGGCACAACCCTTTCTCCTCTGGCCAAACCTCTTGTGCAGAGCTGCAGTCTAGGCGCTGGAGAACGCTAGATGTCCATCGTGGAGAAGCTGCAGGTGTGAGTAGGTCTGAGCCAGTGACGTTCTTGCTGTGAGGCAATGATGCTAACCATTGGGCCTCCGTGCTGTCCTGATAAGCGGAGGAGTAGGGGTGGAAGGGGAGATTCTTCAAGACGAAGATGGCTAAGGTAAGATACTCTGGTTATTTATAGTGACCTAGGAATCATCTGATTGGTGGATCGTTCATTAGCTTACGAGGATCAGCTGCTATCAATCATAAGTGTGTGCTCCTCTCGAAATTAGTTTATAAATAAACTTCACTTAATTCAGTGGATGTTTTTATCCCGAACATAACAAGAGAGTAGTCAATTTGAGTGTATTGCTAAGTTTTTTTTTTATTATTCAAAGCATTTTCTGGCTGACTTGGAGAAGTCATTCAACCGAGTCCCTTATGGCATTCTGTGGAGAGTGCTCGGGGAGTATGGGGTCAGAGGCGCTCTGTTAAGGGCCGTCTCGTTCCTGGATGAACAGAGTAAGAGTCTGGTTCGCATTGCCGGCAATAAGTCATCTTGTTTCAGTGCTTATTTGACTCCAGTAGGGCTGCCCCTTGTCACCAATTATATTCATAAGTTTTATGGACAGAATTTCAAGGCGCAGCCTAGGGCTGGAGGGGGTCCGGTTCGGGGACTACAGGACTCTCTGTTATTCGCAGAAGATGTTGTTCTGTTGACTTCGTCAAACATGGACCTTCAGCATGCACTGGGGCAGTTTTCTGCTGAGTGTGATGCGGCTGGGATGAGAATCAGCACGTCCAAGTCCAAGGCCATGGTGCTGCACCGTAAAATGGTGGGTTGCCATCTCCAGGTTGGAGGAAAGTCCTTACCCCAGGTGGAGGAGTTTAAGTATCTTGAAGTTTTGTTCCCGAGTGAGGGAAGGATCGAGCGTGAGATTGACAGGCGGATCTGTGCAGCGGCAGCAGTAATGCGGTCGATGTACCGGTCCGTTGTGCTGAAGAAGGAGCTAAGCCGAAAGGCAAAGCTTTCGATTTACCGACAATCTACGTTCCAACTCTCACCTATGGTCATGAGCTTTGGATCATGATCGAAAGGACAAGATCTCGCATACAAGCGGCTGAAATGAGTTTCCTTCAAAGGGTGGCAGGGCGCACTCTTATGGATAGGAGCTCTGTCACGCGGGAGGAACTTGGTGTAGAGCCGATTCCTGATTCCCCTGGAGGAGCTGGAGGAAGTGTCTGGGGAGAGGGAAGTCTTTGGTTCTCTCCTAAGACCGCTGCCCCTGCGACTCGGCCCCGGAAAAGTGGCCGAAAATGAATGAGTGAGTGAGTGAGTGAATGAATGAATGAATGAATGAATGAATGAATGAATGTGTGAATGAATGAATGAATGAATGAATGAATGAATGAATGTGTGAATGAATGAATGAATGAATGAATGAATGAATGAATGAATGAATGAATGTGTGAATGAATGAATGAATGAATGAATGAATGAATGAATGAATGAATGAATGAATGAATGAATTTTCTTAAAATATGTGTCAAAATAAGATTTGTCAACAAAAATCATTCTGCTAGCTGAAACACAGAAAAATGTTATGGTCAAATTAAGACACAAAACACCCCAGAGTGGATGAAAACATGCCAAAAAGGTGGTAAGGGTTAAGACAACTGATTTTTTTTTAGGGCAGATTTTTATAGACATGTATTTTTAAACTACAGATTTTCTTTTTTACAAGCTACACTTTTGTTTATTTTTTGTCCAGGTTTTTTTTTCTAGACATGAGGTTTGCAGATTCCTCTTAGTTTTCATTGCAAATGTATGTTTCTCTGATCCAGGGCCAATGTTCCTGTGTGCAGTAGGAAACACTGCGGCTCTGTCTGAGAGAAAGCGGGTGTTGAGCGACGGAAAGCTGAGATTGGACGAGCCACTGGGTCACGGCGAGTTTAAAACCGCGGCAGAGACACACGTGGGACGTTATGAAAGAGGTATTCATTAACCTGATGTTTACATGATGACCAACACTGCAGGAATCTGTCAACTCAACTCAGTTTGCTGGAGCTCAAACTCAGTGCTGTTTTGAGTCGTAA